ATGTATTGGTGGTAGTATAAAAGTGTAAGTTTACTTTTGTAATGCCTCATTACGACAGTCCTTATCAATTTTTCAGTCATAATAGTAACTGACCTACCCGTACACTGACATTTCGCTAAAAATATCTCGACACAAAACCGTGCGCTTTCGTTCACGATTCTGTTCAACACTAGGGCTCAATCTGCACTTGTGTGCACTAGTGTTGTTACTGAGTGCGTGCGTCGAATACAGAGTTGTTTGCGGGAAATCGGTTTAGTGTGCATGTGTGCGGTTCACACACACGCACCCTCGCCCTACTCCGGATGTGAACACAGATTTGTAAGCCTGTGAATGTGCTACACCGAATTGATAGGTCTATCGCTATCTACGTTGTGCAAGTGTGCCGGCTGCGCCTGTGCGTTATTGTTTAGAAGCCTTGGGCATTTAACTTATTTTACAGAAATCTGAATGTTCAGAGTTTTTTTTATTAATCATTCACGTTTGTAAAATCACGGTCATTTGTATTTTTTTACTGACTTAGTTAAATACTTCACAACAAACGGAATATGTATGGAGTTATGCTCGTTAAATATTCAAACATTTATTACTTGTAATTGAATAACAAATGAGCAATTAGTAACACATATTATTCATATTGAATAGGATCAGGAATAAGAATATGATTTTTCTGGACTGAAGCTGGTGGCTATAGCCAGTTCTTGCACAAACCTGTAAAATTAACACACTCTAGAAATCTGGGTGTATATAATAATCATGAAACGTAATAAATGTCGATATTTACAAAAACTAGATAAATTAGAATTATTTATGGAGTTAAAATTTAACTTAAAGATAATTTAAATACCAAATACAAGGGTAACGTCGTAATAAATCTCATAGGTTAAATATTGACCTTTATAGTGAGGCCATTATAATAGTATAACAGAATTATTAAAATCTTACCTTACGGCTTTACGAAAGTTAATATAAAAATATATTTATATATTTTTTTTACATAAAAGCGGAAGGCATTAGACGTACCTTATTTAAAGTTATTGAAATGCGAAGGTGAACCGGTAGCCAGAGGATGCTTGAACCCTAAAAACCCTATATAACGTGTGTGCGTAATCGTTTGAAAATCGGTATACAGCTGTGTGCGTGTGTTGCGTGCGCGCAGACTAGCCGATAACAATAAACTATTTCCGAAGTGACCCAGTTTGAACGTCCTTCGACAATTTGTGCCGCAAGGAATAAGAAAGGGCCGGGAGTCATTTTGACAGTGATATTAAATACTTTAATTGTTCCAGTATAATGTCAGTTTACTGCTGGTTGTAACCTATCATATTGGAGGGTTTACGACGTTATGGATTTCGAAGAACCATTTATATTGAATGAGAAACATCAAAGGCTTTGTTCAAAAGGCTTAGATAACAATTTTAAAATCAAATGAAATAGTTTTATTCCTTTGTAACTTCAAACATATTGATAATAAGCAAAGAAATTGGATTTCATCATATTCTGATGAACTTATTTCCGTTTTTAAATGGATATTATTGTTCAAAAATTATATTTAAATATACGAAAGGAATATCCTTGTTTTTCATTATTGTTTAAAAAGCATTTAATTTGAAGACGTAACTTTAGTATGGTAAAGAGGATGTTGTATTAAAAAAATAAGATCGGAGAAACCACGGAACGTGCTGATAGTTGGACAGTCTAATTGAATTGAAACTTGTTAAGTGTGTTAAGAGGATGACCGTCACAATGCGGAGAGACATTAAAATACGATTTAACTATCAAATCGGAGATGTCTATATGCAAATGCGTTCTAAATTATTTCAAAACATACCTATACATTTATTAGTTAATAATCTCAAACGATTTTATTATTAATATACCAATAAATGATATTTATTGCCCTAAATCACGATTGTGTAACCGACTTCTATTGATATGTATGAGTCCCTTGATAAAATTGTTTGATTCATTCCAATGTCAAATGTGGATGAAGAAATTTATATACAAATATATTCTGTAATGGTTTTAATATATGTCAGAGGTCATTGTTAATAGCATTCCATATCAATAATAATAATTTGGGTATTTTAACAAACTTATATTTTTTTAGGTGTCATATATCTGTGAAAAAAAAATTGTTTAATATAAATATGACTTACAAGTAAATAGTACTAATGATTATTTTATATTATTTTTTGAATATAAAATATGAATTCGAAATCACAAAGTACGTTGCGACACATAACATTTCAGTAGGCTGTAAACCTAGTTCGCGGTTATTTACTAATATGTTACATGTGAATATTATTTTCTTGGAACCACTCAACCTACATACCCTGTCTGAGATGAAGATACTGCTAAGCTAGTCCCTCAATAGAAAAGTTGATATCAATTTTGTTTCACGATGCTAAAAAATCCTACATAATTCCAGAACAAATTCTCCGTTCAATTTGATACTCTGACATTCGTGAACCATATCATGTTTTTCCAAGGAAAATACGCGTCAATTATTAATACATACGAATGTGAGCTAATTAAGGCATTGCGGTTAAATGAATGTTTGTTTTAGATTATGTGTAGACATAACTCATATACTGGGACAAACACATCAAAAAATGGAGCATCGCCACGTGTACGCGTGTTTTTATCAATTACTATGTACGCCCATATAATAAATACATATTATTTATGTATATTGAGATGTCATTACTTTTATGATCAACTTTTCTTTCGCAGATATAGTGCATTAGTCATTTAATCAAAAGCCTTTTTTCTTAAAATAAAGATAAGGAAGATTTTATTCTTACTAGAATTCTGTATTGAGGACGTTTTAAAGAACTTATTGTGATATTTCCTATAAGATAGACACTTACATTTAACAAGGATTAAATGATATTAATCAAGTTACAAGTAATTTTAATAATAAAAGAAATAATTTATTCCTAATGTTAATGTTATTAGTAATAAATTATTTTAAACTTATCTTTAAAATAGGAAACATCCTCTATAAAAGATAAATTCAAGAGGTATTGAAATTTAGAGACTTACGAAATGTAGAATACATATTTTACAAAATTAATACTCAAGTTCGATAAGTAAAATATTATAGAACAGCCATAAATCATATGATGAAGGTTACTTTGTCATTACTTTTTAAGAAGAAAAAAAATGTATTTTATAAAGTATTTCATAATATCACTAAAAACCAAGGTTTAATCTATTAACATGTTCCGTTTAGAATTTCGAATGGCTACCAGATAAATTACGACAAAAAATATGCATATAGAAAAAGGTTAAGATTAACATATTTATAAATGTCGGAAATTTGATTTGGATGACACTGACGAGTAAACTAAGTTCAAATTGTTATAATGAAAAGTAACTAATAACTAGACTAGATGAGTGAAGAGACATTATGTATGTGGCGAGTAGCAATCCATTGGTGTTAAAATAAATTTTCATTTTAAAATTCGTATATATACACATTTTTGTAGTAACGGTTTTGAATCTCAATATTTTAATTAAGATTATTTCAAATTATTGACTTAATATGCAATAAATTAAAATTTTGATAAATCACGTCGTCAAGGTAAACAAGACTTGTTTGATGATTGGTCATTTAAGCTTGAGAAAATTAAAAGATCACCATCTATAATGCGATGTATTTAAAACGACGAAATCAATAAATATAAAAGAAATATATATGTAGTTCACATATTCCTCTCTTCTTTAACATGTTGAACTATTAATTAATAGCCATTTGAATGAAAAACAAAAGTCTCTTACGAAGGATTAAACGCCGTCAACTTTTCAAAGCTGATCTGATTAATACAAATATTCGTATGAATAAATATTAAAAATATGTTCGTATATAAAGAAATATTAGTAGAAAAAAATGACATTGTTACATATTGGAGTGCCCTTAAACTTTCAACAACTGAGCCAGAATCCATTGACATAGTTCACTTTTAGTTGTGACGTCACCAAACATCGTTTCAATTTTCGAGTACGCATGTCGTATTTCTCATATTACTTACGACCGAATTGGGTAATATTTTATGATAATTATCAACTATTATATTATTATCAAATGGAGTTTGTTAGAATTCATCAATTACCAAATATTAATTTATCTATAGGATTAAATTAAACCTTCAACAACCGGAGTAACTGTCTGATAAATGATAACAGTCATTGGTTTGATAATTTAGTTTTGATATGTTTTAGAAAAAAATATATGTTATGAGTAAATAATAATTTACATATGCGTAGATCTTTTGTTTTGCTTAAGATAAATACGTAATAATTTAGGTCACTAGGTGCCTATGACAATTTGCATTTCCAATGTTGTTCCAGACTAGGCACGTTCTTGTAGTTTATTTGCAAGTGAATATGATTGAGTCGAGTCCTTAGTTTATTTATGTATAAATGTACACTTACGCTAATACGTATTTTTAATGACAAAAAATTAGAAATGTTACCCCAAGTGTGTGAAATACAGACATTTTACAAATCTTTGTTTTAACGTTATTTTATACAAAAAAGAAAAGCATATTTTAAAAATTATTTTAATATATTTTGACAAATGAAGTTTCTTCATTAAAACATTCTTCGTACTTAATTTACATTTTTTAATACAAGAATGTTTTAAGATGGACGCAAAAACTAACTATCTTAATATAATTTAAATGTAAATGATAAATTAATTTATTCTATTATCCTTCTGTTTTTGCGCATCGAATGCGCGCGAAACTGAGCGTGGAAAAGCGGCGCGGGCGCATTTCATACGCTGAGCTCCGTTGATTTCGCAACGCAAACCACCATCTAATGTGAACCTATTAACCTCTTCGAGCGAGGCTCAGAGGCGAAGGCGAGAGGCGGACGGGGAGACGAATAGTGCGTTCATTAGACACAAGGTTGTGTCAGTCATCCCGTCTCAAATAGCAATTCACACGTAATAACACAATACACAAATTAAAAGTAAACAAACAATAATACTTCACCTTGCCAACTGTAGTGCACTTCTATTCGCAATCTCATTGTAAAAATTCAAAAGTATGTTGCTATCGAACATATTAGCACTGCATCACAGCCATTTCTTTCACAAATATCATTAAAAAAATCAAAAACGATTCGAAGCACCAACGATCACAGGATAATCACAACGTCCGGTCCTAGGCACGTCCGTGCGCGAGCGACGTCAATTCAAACTGGCCCGGTCAAAATGACGAAAGTGAAAACATCGCACGCACAGAAAAAAAGGTTGGCGGCGCGGTACAGTCCTTGCAGGCCACCTCTCGCGCGGGCTCCAGTGACACAGTAACTGCGCGCCGCGCGCATCGCCCGACGCCTATATAACGAAACGTTTGGAGGTTCGATTTCAAACGCCAGCGGACGGCACAAAAAGAAGATGGGCTCGCAACGGTAGCTAGTAAAGAATGAGCACAAAGAATAGCGACACGTGGGCGCGTGTGCGTGCACGTGCGACTGTCGGTGTGTGCGGAGATAGGCGGCCGCAGGAAACTCCGTTCTCTTCCACAAGGAAAGACCTTGGATTTGAATCGGCACGTTGCAATGTGTACCGCAGTCGCCTACGCTGCTCTTACCTACTTGCTGTTGACGGCACTTACTGATTGAACGATGATTCCACTGCATAGTATATATTAAAATACTGCAGTAAATTGCGGTGACAGTAGAAATGTAACCTTACATATTCACACACAAACCAAATTTGAAACAATAGCTATGACCTATTAGAAATCGTATTGTACGTTCTATTCTCGTTTAATAATTGTCATTTAAGATACTAAAATAAAATGTTTAGTTTGACTTTATAGCAAGAAAACACAAACTTCATGTCATTCTATTAATTGTCCTCTTGCGAAGAAATATTATTTCTAGATCATATACAAGTATCGCACAGAACAAATATACGAGAGGGTTCTATAAACATTAATCTAAATTCTGATGTTGAACAGTTAATGAATAAAACAGAAGCATTATTGCTTTGCCAAGCGACTGGAGCAGTAACGCTAACTACTAAATATGAAGCAATGAAGGCTGATAATGATGTTTCCACTGTGACACGTTTCGGGCAAGAGCCGGCGCATTGCACAATGAGCAAATGAAATTTGAGATAATTATGTAAAGTAGGTCGTTAGACATACTTTCATTTTATTGTTATTACAAATAAAACTGGAATTTTATCATAATATGGCTTAGCATTAGAGAAAATAGAAAGTTGCAATATATAATGCCGACTTGATCTATATCTATTTAAAATTATTTTTCAAATAAAATGTAAACTATTAACTAATTTGTTTTGAGCAAAAATAATTTGTAAAAACTTGGTATACAATAAATATCTATTGCGTAGAAGAAGCATTATTTAAAAACAACGTGCATTTATGGCGTAATAAAACAATTCAAGCGGTAGACGTGAATGAAAGAGCAGCCAGTGTCGGTGACTATAAAACCTGTTTTAGGACTTAAACCGAGAATAAACAAATATTGTAAAAGGAAATAGGTGTTACAAAAATGCATCATAGTGATGTTAAATTATTTTAAATATCAATTTATATATGACATCCAAACAGAACCGGTTGTTTATAGTAACAACGAGAATGAGTTTAAATAACGTAACATCATGTCACTTTCGCTTCCACACTCTCATTGTCTAGAACAACGATTGGATAACAAACAAATATCATCTGTACTGACTTATATAAATGGTCTTGCATTTGTGAAAATAGCTTTAATTGCACTTGAAACTCAATTTTTGTTATTGAAATTTAATTTTGTAAGAAGTGAAAGGCAAACATAACATCTGTTTGTGTGGATGTGATTATTATGTAATTTCTGTTTAGTATAATATTAAATACAATTCTGATTTCTTTTGTAAATAACATTCTTTTAATCAATGATATATGATAGATGAATGATATCATTATATATTAATATATATATCTAAGTCAATTGTCCACATTATATGAATCTATTTATCAAACCATAAGACCTTTCATTCGAAACTAAACAATAGACAATTCACGGTTTGCAAAATAACTAAGCACGAGAGTTCACAGTGAAATGTCGACAATAATATTGTAACAATAACCCAATTTCGTGTTTCGTATTTTGTACGTTTAACTTTATTTCATTATTTTATTTCTTTATATATCTATGTAAATATTTATATTATATGTATATGTACATGACTCATATAGGTCGTTGAAACGGACAACTTATCATTAAAATCTACTCGTCTTAATAAAGAATCATAATTACTAAGAAATTTAAACCAAAGTTTTAGATAGTTATATATCTGCTAAATTAATGACTCATGATATGATTTCACTAAAAGAAAATTTAAGATAAGATATAAGAACGTAAAATGTAAACAAATAGAATTATTCGAAGAAAAGTAAAATATTACTAGAAGTCAAACTTATTGCAATTATATTAAAAAAATCACTCTGAAAGCAGAAATTCGATATGTATTTTATATAAGCTATTTTCGTCTATCAATGACATAAAGAAATTAGTAGTATAATATATGCTTGTTATAAATATACTACACGTCAGAGAAAGAGGAAATCAATGCAACAAAAGAATGAGATTGGAGATTTGATAAACAACAAATGTTCATCACAAAGATGACAGCAGTCATACATTTTTAGTTTTTATATACAGTCTATAAATGACATTGAACAGTTTTTGTAATCGAAACAGAAATTGTGAAAAGTCACTGAACATAAATATCTTCGAAAAACCTTTTACATTCAGTATGAAGTCATCCGAAAGATTCGCTTGCGTACAATATTACGGAACGAAACTTTCGCGTCGGTATTCATCCAAGTGAAAGTTAAAAAGTGTAAGTATATTCATTGTACTTTTGTCACTGGCCAATCACAATCTTTATCGTAAATCTCGATCTCGGCATTTAAAGGTAGGTTCACCCACGGATAAGTATTTGAAAAGGAAAGTTATGCATTGCGCAATTTCTTTACTATTTCGAACGGAGTGACACATTCTGTTATTTGTGTAACCCAGATTATGATCGGTAATAAGAAATTAAAATAACTCAAGCAGCCATAATATGGTACAGATCGGATGCTTCTCTGTTATGTGTGTAAGTATATGTGAAAGTGTTTTTGGACGAGGTAATCAATTGCCTATGCATCCGCGTCAAACATCGGATCCGTCACGATCGACCGTGGCTGCCATTTATTAATATTAAACGAAAATTCGTTATCCAACTGGCCTTGGGCCGCGTTCCTTTCAGTTCTACTTAATGATGACAGTTGCTTGAAACGTGCTGTTTGTAATGGCACCAACTCAATGACAGTAGTACAGCGGTCGGAGTGATTGTAGAGTTTCCTAGCACATACAATTCGCATACCGACATGAAACGAAAGGCGATTAATCTGAAACCTGTTTTTGTCGTGTTTATATTACGTTCGTTATAAATTAGAAAAACTTGTAAACACTTTCGATCATTAAATACCAAATGAGTTTAAATAGAATGAATTTTTAAGTGAAGACGAGGTTTGGTAATAGCTATCGAAAGTGTGACTCGTAGAGTGAGGCTTGACGCAGCGTAGACGTCGAAAGTAAGACCGTGAAGTTGCGCAGGCGAGTTACGAAGTTTTTATTGTCGGCCGCGCGCGAAATCACTTGAAAGTTGTATTGTCCTTGGTTATTTCACTTCTTTATTTGTTGCGTTTCCGACACTCGAGCCGAAGTTCAGTCGCCGGTAACGCCAATTGTAGCGCTTTGAATGTGTTAGTGCCACTCTCATGTCCCCTTCACTACGTCCTCTAGTACATAGATTTTGTCGCTCGAGATGACTATGGTTTGTATGGTATTGGTCGTGATTATATTAATAAATATCCTAAACATAAAAACTTGTTTACTTATTAATCTTACCGAGGTACAATATTGGTTGAGAGATTTTCTTCACAGGTCCAATCCAGGGTGTCGGTGCGCGCAGGAGCGCGCGGTGTTTTCCCGGCGCTTGCGCCACTTCCACGCTTGCGACACGCTTCCTGCGGGAGAGTGCGAGGCCGCGCGCGAGTTCCGCGCGACTTGCACAACGCTTATCGGCGACCCGGTTTCGACTTTCACCGCGTCAAACTCAAACTGAATCCAGGCTTGTCACTAGAGCACTGTAATCCGGGCACAGTCACAGGGTGTTCGCGGGAGAACGCGTGGGATGTCGGCGCGACGGCGCTGCGGGCCGCGGGCGCCGTGCGAGTGGCCTGCGCCGGCGCCGCCATCGGTTGCGCCACGCTGGAAAGTAAAAGTAAGCGGTGGGCGCGGGGCGCGGGGCGCTGTGGCACATTTCTCCCACTTTCGCCGTAGTGATTCACGTTGCGTCAAGGTCTCTTCCCGCAATATCCGTACCGTAACCTATCACTCTGCTCCACGTTTTATATCGGCCAACCAGAGAAAACTTATCTTCGGAAAATTTCTGAAATAGAAACAACTACAGAAAGGCATGCATTTCATGTAAGAAACTATGTGTAAAAGTGTCAAGTGACTTTATAGTTCAGCAATGAGATGTCAAGTCAATTAGCCATGGAACCACAATAGGTCATAAACCTGCACTAATGCGTACATTCATTACTCCTCCACCATGCCTAGAAGTGGTACGCCACAATAGTTCAGGGTCAGAAATAACATTGTAAGTGACATCTTATACATGTACATAATAAAATACGAAAAAACAACAACATGTCTACCTTAATTAAATTTCGTTCGTAAGAATGAAGTAAAAGAAATTTGTCTACGCGATTATTAAAGCATAACTTTTTAGTGAATTAATAGCGAAACTCATGGTCTCGTAATGTTTTTTATTGAAAGTTATAAAATAGTAGCATTACTTAACCTCCATCACATTTGAGCACTGGTAACTCTCACTATGTGTTTAATAACATATCAAAGTTGATTGATGCTGCTTGTACATGAGAATGTAAGCAAAATGTTTTAAGGGAATTATAAAAGAAAGTGTAATTTCTCTAAGGTCTATGTGTATTAGTTTTATTATGAATGCGTCATATGTCCCAGTTATTCAGATACAATAGTACCTCTGTTAGTTTGTTATCGGGAACTTCAATGGGAACGGATGGGGATGCATGTAGCAATATTTATCAAAAGTGACTATTATAACGAAATTCTGTAGTGAATTAAAAGTAATTTATTTATAATAATTATTGGTGTCTCAAAATAGAAGCAGTTTACAATTTTCTTTTTAAGACGACATAATAAAAATGACTTTACAATTCTTAATTTTATTTTATGTATAACTTTATATATTTATTTGTTAAAATATTGAATATGCCCTGAGTAAAGCTGTATAAGAAATAGCTTAAATCATATTATAAAGTGAAAGTGACGTTAATAGAGTTATTGTATTCAAAAAACGTGATGTATTATTGCCTTGTAGAAACCTCATATCATTTGAGTGATGTATATAAAGGTTACATTGCAATTATGCTTTCAATATATTTGGAATAGATCTGTCTCTATTACAATGTTATATAAATTTAATTGGCTATAGAACGCAAGAGCCCTTTTATAGATAGTGATTCATGACAATGACGTTTGACATCACGAATGTCACAGTATTTAATAGAACCGGTCAAAGGCGAAGCTGACACAGTACATACACACCCACCTAGGTTCTATACCCAGTAATTACGCTAAATAATTATAGTTTTCCTCATATCTCATGGTAAATTTCAAATTATATGGTGATTGCATCTTAAAATAACTTCTCGAAACTCTATACATTGTCTTAGAATTTTAATAAATATTATATTTGTTATTCAAATTACATTTTATGTATTTGTTATGTTTGAAATAGTGTAAGCGATTACAAATTGTAAATATGTGTAACGGTTTGTTAATGTTTTATAAGTGAAAGTTGGAATTGTCGATTACATACCCCGCTACAGTAAGTTGTTAGTTAAATGAAAGAAAAGATAAGATTCATGAAATCTATATAACTAATTTCGTTATTATTATGATACATAATTATATTTGTAAGAAAAAAATGAATTACGTTACCCAAAGTTCAATAAATTAGATTTTTATGATGTAAAATCCATCTGAACGTCCCATTATTTGGAATGTATACCATTTTACCAATCAATAATTCGCTATAGCCCTTTTAATTAACAGTTATTATCATTTTATCTATAGAGCTGATCTGAGGATGACAAAATACATTTGCAAGCGGCGACATTGAAAGTTGGCATTACATTACGTAATCCTAGACACATCAGGCGTATGTATTGAATATCAGACCGGGTCGCACGTGGCTAACAATGCACACAATGCTATTATGTACCCCTTACACGTAATCATAACGTTCAAGCAATTTTAATCTGTATTACATAGCGATAAGATCATATTTTTAAACTTGATTTGCATCCTTCGTTAGCTATTGTACAGTATGTGATCGAATATTTTATATCACAAACGATCAGTCTTATCACTGAGTGCAATGGCCTTGGGAATGTCACCTTAAAGGGGGTTGTAAAGAAGTTTAGATTTCAGAAGCAAACAATGCGTGTGACAGTAATGTGTAAATAATATATCTATTCAAGTTTTGCCTTCATTTTCTTTGTAGTTGAAGACGAAGTTGTTACTCAATTTTTCTTTTATACATATATAAATATGAATAATTATTATTGAGTATCTATTTGTTAGTGTCAGATGCGAACAAGTTCTTCCTTGCGTACGTTTTTTTTTGTAACCCACGATTTACACCTCCGCCGAATATCTGTTAAAATATTTTCCACTTTTTGCTGTGTAGGTTGAGATTAAATACAGATGTTATAAGACAAGAAATTAAATAACCTTTTGTTGAGTGGTAAGGTTTAATTTAGACTTCCTTTATATACCAACAACAATTGATTTACACCAGATTATATGAATATCTTTTCCTAAATATTTTTCTCTGAGTCCGTCTTGTTTTAACCTAAACTGAGCCAGCCGTTTCAATGTTTGTGGTTGTTTAATAATTTATATATAAGCCCTTAGAAGGAGATTGACACACTAAAGCTAGTTTAAAGTTTGTTACAATAAGAAACTATGTCTAAAAATGTCGCGAGTACGTATTCAAATATAAGAATGTTTTCGGACTATTTTTACTATAACAAAAGGTCGGATAAAATATAAAATAATAAAATACCTGGAGTTAATTAGAAAATACCTAACCATAATACATGTAGTTTCTGCACTTATCTATAAACATTTTGTTAAAAAAAAGAATTGTAATCAATAAATTGTTAAAAATAGAAATATTTTCGGGTGAATAGATCGTTGTTTAATATGATAGTTGTAATCAAACGTACACTGATAACCTTCCATAAACTTGTTATCACTCACATTAATACTCTCTTTCTAATGTAGGTTACCTAAATTGTTCACAATCGGATTTAATACATTGACACTATTCATTGAGTAATTAAAATTGATAAACATGTGTAAATTTCGATAAATTATTGTTATTTGGACTCAAGTTTATATAATTTTTATTGTATGAATCAATAAAAATAATGAATCACTAAATTTTTAAATAATTTTTTAATTTAAATAAATTTTTATTATATTTATAGTTTGTTTCGATAAACTTAGTTGATGCAATAACTGCCGAAATTTCTGAGCGTTTGGATTTTAAACATTCATAAATACTTAGATAAAATGGAGTAAAGATAGTTGTTCTCAAAATCTTTACATCATCATGTAGATTGTAGGTAAATAAAATAACATGAAACTTCAATTCAAGATTTTCATATCAAATAGATAAAATACCGAAATTTCAAACGTGTATTGAAGTAATCGATGAACCACTCGAGAGATAATACAGAGAAAACTGTGCCACAACCTTCGTTATTACGTTATTAATGATAACCCCGTATTATATCGAACTGGTTGATTTGAGATTTGGATGTTGTGCAATGAGAAAACATTGAAAAAATACGAATTTGACCACTCATTGAATTATTCATCAATAAATATTATAAACCAAATCGTACCTTTAACGTTCTCTTTAACAACAAATTACATACATTAATGGTTATGTTTACAGTTCCGTTAAATTCTATATATGTAAATAGCAGTAGTTTTGTACAGAGCTAAAGATAAATTCGAATAGAAGCTAAATAGTCATTTTATAAAAAATTCAATAGTTATTTGAATAAATAAATAAAACTATATTTTCTCTTTTCTTTAACACAGCTATATAACATATTTTTGTAATAGATAGACTAAATTAAATTCAATTCAAGCGAGGTAGGTGTAACCTGATATTATTTAATGTATAATATTGGTGAAAATCTTATAAGATGTTGAACATTTTTGTTCTAAAATCTAGTCAAAAGCTAAGTGATTTTAACAGTAAAGACAAAGTAGTCTTAAATTAATAAAAATTTGTCAAACAAAAAGTGTACTTAAAACTGTACATCATAGAAAAATAAAGAGTCAAGGTAGCTGTGAATTTGCTGAATATATTGAATAATATATCCGTCTTTAAATTTCGCTGATTTTGAAGTCGGATTTTTATGTATACTGTGTCAAATTCAATCTCTTTCTGTTTGAGCAACCAGGATATAAATTATCAAACAAAAAATTTCACTGAAATTCAACTAACTTAATACACGTTCGCTTTTTCACGTTGTGATTTTCAAATGGCCTTCGAATATCAATAACAATTTTTCTATGAATTATTGAGCGAATATTGTTATTTTGAAACAGTTTTTCTTTTTTCTAATATAATGAATATATTTCTTTATATTTACAAAAAAAAAACTTCTATGATATAAAAGAAACATTTTGATTGTATGTTAAAATTTAATTTGTTAAAATTTAAACGGCGTTTTGTTTACATGGCGTTAATTGGCTTCGATATACTTATTTACTGTTACTTATTTCAATCGCCCTTGAGGTTAGTGATTAATAGCGTTATATTGTTGCTTATTAATTTACAGCGTAGTTTTCCTATTTCATGGACATCCAGTTTCTTATTGATGTTAAAATAAAGCGAGGAATATAAAAATACATCCCGTATATAGATATTCTATACATCTCGTAGAATTGAATTTTGCAACGTGACTACATTATTCTAAATAGGAAAACGTGTTGTATTTACTCAAGTTTTTTATATAAAAGTTTTTTTTTTGATTCGGCCGAGGAATCTAAATTTGGCATCTCTTGATGTCTTGATTTGTTGCTTCTAATTACGTCTCATTTATAGTATCATATATCTTAAATTGTATACAGAAATATTATAAGGGTGAAGTGTAAAAAGGGGTACAGATGATCACAGTAAATGTATAAAATATCATAAAAAATATTTTGAGTCATTATAAAAAATCTACCTAAAAATA